AGTTCTCTCTATTTCTTTTCCCATATTCTTTGTTCTGGTCAAGCATTGCTCCTTGTTCCATTCATCTTTAGACCTTCCCTGCTGCCACTCTTGTAGAGAACAGTCCTCTCTAAATGCTGACTAGCCATACTCTCCATCCAAATCCTTCTCTACCCGTCAATATTAATCAAGGTGCAAAAAAGCCAACATCGTATCATTTTGAAAACAGACCCTCACCTGATGAGTGAATGGTTTTCTCTCAGTTATTTACAAAGCAAGTCTCTTGAGGCCTGGAGCTGGTTACTACCTATCTATTGAATATTGCACAATCGGGCACTCAACACAGCACAAAAGATCTTCTCTCCATGCAAGTTTTCTTTTATAATGAACTGAAAATGGGCATTAGAAACAAAAACATTGACTCAAAGTAGAACAACAATCCCAAGGTGTCAGAAAATGAATGTGTGGCCCTGTGAACTGTAGAGGAGCATGGCAAATTTCCTGAGAGGAGTGGCAGAAATATGAAATGTGTTCTCAAAACTCTACAAAACCATCTCAATCCATTCCCTTAAAAGCCAAGCTCAATTCTCTGAACTAGTCCTAGAAAAGTTTTACTAACCTATGTTGAGTGAAAGGCCCACAACAAGCCACCAGGCATTGCAAGTTTCCAGGAAAGCCAAGTGGCTCAAGCAACCCCAAGCTGCGCACAAGCTAACCTTCAATAGTAAAGGCTGCTCCAAAGCCAGTTCATTAGCATAAAGCCTCAAAAAAACCAAGACACCATCACAAAAGACAATGAATTTGGAAATAAGGAACCCCAATAATTTTCTGATGCACTGGAGAAGAGAGGCGTACGGTGACATTTGTCACTCACTCTGCGGGGCCTTTTATTGTAGCATCCAACTTTGCACCCCTGCTGGCTTGTTGCAGATGTAAAGTGCTGCCGGTCCCTTGGAGAAAACTTCAAAAAGCATTTTAAATTAAAAGCAATTCTTTTGTTATTTGCAGATTTTATACTATTTCCTCTCTCCTGCTTTCTCAGACTATCCAAAGCCTTAGCATAATGTGAGGATGTGGTCAAGTTCCCATCAACATTAACAGTCAGAGGAAGACTGCTTTCTAACCAGGTCCTCGGACTGGGATGTCCTTGTGGTATAGCTAGGACTGTGGTTTTGTCAGCTCTAACAACACACTCATTTGGAGAGGAAAGTACTTGAAAATAGGAGTCCAAACAAAAGGTCAACACTTCACAGAACATTATTGGATCGTACGGATGTGTGGAGACTGCAGCTAAGGCTTTGTCTAAACTGGAAAATGTAAAGCGCAGTTGCGATAGCATGGCCAAGGCAAGAGCACTCTCCTGGCGCTCTAGGTAAACCACCTCCGCAAGGGCAGTAGCTAACTACACTTGGAACACAGCTCCCAGTGCAGTGGTCTGGTTCACACCGGCGCTTTACAGTACGGTGACTTGCTGCGCTTGATGGGCAGGGTGTTCTCACTCCTGAGCTAGCAAGTTACAGCGCAGTAAGTGCCAGTGTAGACTCAGTCTAAGAGAAGCAAGGAAGTTTAGAGAACAAAATCCAAATAAATTAAATGTATGAAGGACTTTTCAAGCAAGAGCAGCAATTTGGAGAAAAAGAGGATGCATTCCCAAACATTTTGGTGCAGTGAAATTCTCATGTAAGTGGATGAAACTACAGCAAAACCTCACAGGGGTCAGTGCTGCTGTGGTTGAACAGAACTGTCAGTCATAATGCCACTTTCCTTGCAGACGTCTCTCCCAGGTCCTCCTTTCACCCCAAAGCTCTTCTACATTCACTTGCCATCATATAACTAAAAACCAGATGATTTTCCAACACTGGGCCAGTTTCACCTCTAATAGAAAAATGCAACCTCCTGGCATACCGTGCTGACAGAAAGGCCTAGGCATTTGCTGGCTTTGACTCAAAGGAAGGCCCAACCACTGCCCCAACATCCTGCTGCCTAACATCCCCATTCCAAAATGCTCCAACACCCTGCTGTGATTTCAACCTTATGTATACCCCCACTGGTCTCCAGCTGGTGTGGTGCTGGGACACAATGATCTTTCAGGACCTACTTACGCAGTGCTATGTGGGTTGCATCTTCCAAAGGATAGCCTCTTTTCACAGAATTTATGACACAGAATCCCACTGAGGACATTGCCTGTTCCCTGAAATCAAGAGGAGAAAAGAAACAAGGAATGAAAACAAGAACATCAGCTGGGAGGGAGCAAATGGCAGGAGGTGTGGGGGAGGCAAGAAGCAGCTCAGTGGGCAGGATAAGGCACTAGCACATCCCTCTGCTCTACTTGCCAAATCTCTTCTGGTTAGCAGCAAAGTGATTTCCAGCTTACAAGGCACAGGAGGCTCATTAGGCTGAAACACTACTTGCCCTCACTTTCTTCCCTGATTTGCTCCTGAAGGTTCCTTCCCACTTGGATCACTTCCTCACATCTCAAACCAAACTCCCCATATCCCCCTCCCCGCCCTGGCAAACTGCTATCTGTAGGTGGGCTCTGCCAGAAACAGAAGGGGAGAAGCTGAGAATGGGTTCTTAGGAGTGCAGGCAACAGGGAGATGCACTAGCTTTCCTCTGCCTTATCCACTTGGCTAGCCTCCTGTTTGCCAAAATAGATTTCTGCCACTGCAAAGCAGGGGACCAACAGAGAGCTGGTGAAATAGATGGAAGGAAACTATGATAGTATTCCGTCTTTCCTGCGGGGATGGTTAGGTCTGTATGGCTATGTCTAGACTACAGAGTTTTCTGGTATCCCGGAAAAACTCTGCTGTGTCCAGGGAACACATCCGCTTTTTCAGATAAAGTGGGTGTGTTCTTTCGGCATCCCTGTATTACTCTCAGTGAAAGGAATAAGGGATGTTCCGAAAGAGGAGTTTTTTCCAAAATTTGGCCCAGTGGAGATGGGCCAAATTTTGGAAAAGCCTTCCCCCCCCCCCCGCCCACCCAAAAAAAGGGGGAAAACATAAGCAAATTGCAGTTTACAATTTGCGTTATCTTTTTCCAATAAAACTTGGCAGTCTAGACGTAACCTAAGAGGCTTAGAATCCATGACAAATCTTAGGAAGCTTCTTGGGTCCTCCACACTGCCCTCTGGGTGAAATAATAATTATTATTATTTGTGCAAAGATAAGTGCTCCTAGTGATCAGTTCCATTACTGGCCCTTTTCCTGCAGCAACAGCAAGCTTGGAGACCTTTTTAAGTTAAAAGTACAGGTCTACAGCAAATATTTAACATGCTACACCAAGATCAAAGGTGGTAACAGCCAACTTTACAAATTCCAAAGTTACTCACCTTTCAAAGGTTACTGTCACCTAATGAAATTTAGTAAACTAAGTTATATTTTTCCTCCTGCTTTGCTGTTTTGTACCAAAATTCACCCCTTCCTCAATAATAGAAAAATTAAGTCTTTACTGGGCTCTATTTTCAGGGTGTTATAATTCAGAAACCTCTTGTCCCAATCACTTCAAAGTTTACAGGAAAATTCTCCTCAGGCTCAGCCTACTTACCAGTTTTAAGCACACAAGACTATAGATTTGAGGAGACTGAAGAATTCTGGAAAAACTGGGCTTATTATGGAGACTTGGGTGTAAAAACTTAACTATAAAACAGCTATCCTTGCACCATAACAAACATGCCTTCAAATATCCCCAAAAGTTGTTTTCTCCTCTCCCTGAGAAGCCACAAAGCTCCATTCCCAGATGTTACTCTTGTTCATTGTTTATCACAAAGGCGTTGCTAAAATGACAGTTGTCATCATAAGAGAACTTTCAGAGAAGCCAAAAACTATATAACACACTTAGACATATTAAGATCAGAAATAACTGAAGATACAAAAGGTAAAAGCCACAAACCAATAATGTATGGAGTTAGAAACATCCTGATTCACAGAGTGACGATTTCTTAGGATTTTCTGCAAACATATAAGTAATGCCATACAAAAGAAGTGCTTCTTCAATACTGTAGCCACTCAACACTACAGGAGGCTTAGAGGCACAGAGTATCACACATGGGTAATGCCATCATATGCAGCTAACACAGACATACTTGCATCTCAGATTCAGGGGATCCCCACAGGGCCAGAATCAATGTCCCCTAGGGGGTACACACAAAGAATTTGAATCCCGTCCACCTCCTCAGAAGAGCTGTGCAGCACCACTCACCTTCCTTGACCACGGAAGGTTAAGTGGTGGTGGTTGGCTTCGTGGAGAGAGGTGGGGGGCTAGGACCCCGTGTTGGCTACTCCCAGGGTACAGCCACGCGGTGGGTGACTGACCCATATACCAGGCTGGAAGCTGAGTGCTGGCACACGGGGCAGCTGCCTGCCATGTTGCCCCGCCCTGGAAGCTACTGGGCAGCCACCTCATGACCCTGGTCCCATGTTCAGCCCTTCCCCAGGGTTGGAGCTGCAGCCAGGGCTGCGTGGTAGCTGTGCAGTTGTTCCCAGAGCGGGTCGCATGGATTCACGCTGCTGGGAAAGTTCCAGCTGGGAAGGGAAGCGTGTTCTGGGCAGAAGCTCATAGCGGGAAGCAAACTGTGTTGGTGCATTGTTAAGAACCGCTGGGCAGCAAGGATGGCTAGAGGGGCAGGGGAGCAAGGTTCATGTGGGGAAGTCGGGACTCGGAGGGGGGTGGTGTTGAAGGATGGCGGCGTGGATGCCTTTGCAGGACTTCAAGTTCCATGGGTTCCAGCCTTTATTGTAAAGGCCGTGCCCAGACTGTGATTTCCGTTCTCTGTACTATTGGGATTCCCCTCCACACACACTCTAGCTGCCCCACTTTTGTGCGTATATCACTGCTGCACAATATTGTAGTATTTTTTAAAGACAAGGGACTAAACTGTGTGTCTTATGTTTTGCTGGTTTCCTAGTGTCCCTGAAGTGAGGTCAGCCATGCTCCCCTTCATAGATAATTCAAACACACTTGCACCCCTTTCTGTCTGGCAGCGTTAGCTGTTTTTGTGACCCAAATAGACCTTCCCGTGTGAAGAATGGAGATTTAATAGCACAGTAATAACTATGGAACAAAAATTAATGAAGGGGTTTTAATTAATTCAAGCATCTTTGTAACTAGTGTTTATTTGAAACATCAATGCAATAAGCACAATTAACACAAAATACAGACTTGTTCACTGAGAGGCTTTGCAACTCAGAACATGGATTTAGTGATCAGACAGCAGCTGTCTGCAGCTCAGAACCCCCAAGGTAAATGGTTGCATAACGTATAGGAATGTTACTTGATCTATTTTAAATAAGAGGACCATGAAAGTTCTTGCCTTACAGGGACCGTTATCTGTTCTTGTTTTTATATATACACAAAAAGATAGAGAAAATATTTTCTCTGAATTCTTTGAATAGCTTTATTGGAGGACATAAAATGAAGTAAATACCATAACGCATCACTCTTTTTAGTTAAATAATTTATGTCAAAACAATTTTTTTTAAATAAAATTTTTAAGAACCAGATCCAAAGTATGAAGAAGTTAATGGAAAAGTCTCATTAACTTCAAGGAGTTTCAGAACAGGCCTTAAATGTCCTCTGTGTTCTTATCTGTATAATTTTTTAAATTTAAAACGGCAAGAGATTGATTAAAACTCCTCTCCAGTATGTACTTAGTTTTACACAAATTCCTTTGATAACCTTTCCATGCAAATACACAATTCTTTACTTTGAGGAAAAATAAGAACTTTTGTAGTTGAGTTGATCACTTGAAATAAAACAGTCAAGTGCCTGCACACTCTGGCATAAAGCAAAGAACGTTATTTGTCGTCTTACTCATTTTTTATTAATAAGCATTCTTCAATGCTTGAATGTCTGAGAGTTGATCAAACTGGACAATCAAGGGGAATTTGCATGCGATTCATCAGAGTGCTTTAGCTCTGATTTATATGTCTTGTGTGCAGAACAAGCATTCCAGGTAACTACATTTTCTAAGTTAGTAATATGCATTATGGTAATAAAAAGAACTGTCTAGAATTATAGTGGATTGACTTCACCTCTAATCCAAAATAAAGTATAATCCTGAGACACAAAGCGAACGGGGAGAAATATTCAATAAGCTACTGTCGAGGTGTGCAACAGAGAGTACACCTACAAAAGCTCAGAAACATTAGTCTGAAAATAGTTCCCAGAAAGGAGAGCCCGATTTAATTGGAGGAGGAATTGCAGCTGGGGGAGGTTTGGGAGAGGACTCTAAACAGAGGAAGCTGGCTACTGAAAATTTTGCAGGATTAATTTTTTTATTTAACTTCATATTAAAAAAAAACAGGCTATGTCTACACTGCCCCCTTTTGCGCAAAAAATATGCAAATGAGGCAAAGCACACCTCATTTGCATAATTAACGAGGCTCTGTTTTGTTGCAAACCCCCGCTCTTACACAAGAGCCGTTTTTCTGCTTTTTTTCAGGAAGAATGGCTCTTGTGCAAGGGGGAGGGGGCGTTTGCACAAAAAGGAGCCGTCTACACAGCTCCTTTTTGCACAAAAGCCTCTTGTGCAAAAACGGAGCCTCATTAACTATGCAAATGAGGTGTGGCTTTGCATCATTTGCATATTTTTTGTGCAAGAGAGGGCAGTGTAGACATAGCCATAAAGTATTGTACTTCATTAACTGTCCTTTGTTTTAGTATTCTTTCTTCTACTACATTTTTAAAAAAAGAAATATTTGTTAACTTGGGTGCCACGATGGCACACCACCGAACAAGCATACATGATCTCAATACTGATGTACAAGACAAAACTCACTCTGCTCATGGATGGAAAATCTTAAGAGCAGTGGTTCTCAAACTGCGGTCTGGCCGCTTTCCAGGTGGTCTGCAGCTTAAGCTCAATCCCTCCCATCCATCCTCCCCACAGCAGGGAGCCCATGCTAGTGCTCCAACCTCGTGCCTCCTCCCCTCTACCCACCCGTGAGGTTGGAGCACCAGAACAGGCTTCCCTAGGGAGGGGGCTGAGCCTTCCCACTGGATCCGGCTCACGGGGAAGAAGCAGAGCCAGAAGCTCCTCTTCCCTTGGCTGGGGAAACAACAGTGCACAAACATGCTGCCTGGAGGCTTTTCCCCCCTGCTACCACTGGCCAGAGTTGCAGCCAATGGGAGCAGCAGGAAGCTGAGCCTGGGAGCAGCGTGGGGCGTGAAAGCAAATAAGTGGCCTCCTACCCACTCATGCCCAGACACCCCACCTCCACCCTGTTCTTGCACCCTCTCCCTGGCCAGACACCGTACCCCCCATCCTGCTCCTAAACCCCACCTCCCACCCAGATGTCACACCATCACCCCTTCGTGCACCCCACTTCCCACCCAGATCCTGCATCCCCATCCCTATCCCACGCATTGGCAGCCCTGTCCTGCACACTGAGCCCCTCATTCTGGTTCCCATCCCAGAGCTTGGGGCGGTGGGAGGGGGTCCACAAAATCTACTAACCCCACAAGAGTAAATCTGGCCCATGATAAATCTGGCCTATGGGAAGCCCTGAACCTCAGTCTTCCCTGTCCTTCTCTCTCCTGTGATGGGGCTGGAGTACCAGAGGAGTGAGGTGTCTCAGTTGGGGGTTTTTGGAGCGGTGGTTCTGCTTCTCACTTGTGTGGTCCCCAACTGATTTTTCTGTGGGTCAGTGGCTCCTGATCCAAAAAAGGTTTCCCACCCCTGCCATAAAGAAAGAAAACATTGAAACCTTTGGTGCTGGACATAAATTAATATTTCACTTTATTTAAAAGGAAGTAAGTTAGATAAACTAATATGAAAAAGCTGAAGTACTTAATCCATTTAATAATGTAATATTTCCGTTCTTATTGGTTAAATTAAACCACTCTTTAGCTGCACTAGCAAAATGGCTCAGCCATAATTATGTAATTAATGGTGAGTTTCTATTAGCAACTGGTGGTCCACAGAAAGGTTTGCCTTGAGCCAGGTGGACCACAGGCCAAAAAGTTGGAGAACCACTGTCTTAGAGGGAACACTGGTCAGAATGAATTCTCCCCTCTCCAAATATGCAGCATTACATTCCTAGCCTTCTGCACTATTTGGAAAGTGGAGTGGGAGGAGAAGACTGGTTTCCCAGAGGTAATCTGTAGAATCTTTTGGCCAGGCTGGGGTGTGTATCTTGATGATCTAAAACAACAAAGTCAACCGTACTTGCATATTCTCTCTTCTAAATGGCAACTCTCATGCCCAAGATACATGAGGGAGCAAAGGGGTCCAAGACTCCGCCTTGGTCTGGGTATACACTGATGGGTGTTCGTACCCACCTCGATTCTGCCCACGTTTGGCAGCCCAGGAACAGTGTGTATTATGGTAACAGACCCTGGCCCAAAATTGTCATGTACTTACTTTGCAAGCTGTAGAACATTGCGGTAGCAGCTATACAGGGAGCTCTCAGCTGCTGTGCGATATTTGCTCTTGTATTTGGGTCCTACAGTGTGAATAATGAATCGTGCAGCCAAGTTAAACCCTTTTGTCAGTTTTGCCTCCCCTGTCCGGCATCCTAAAGAAATATACAAAGAATAAGACACTGTAGGAGTAAAGCACCTCACACCAAATCCCACCTCACAGCAACTCACTGCACCTCATTAGTTCCTTTGTTTCCTCCTAGGATACTACATCAGCAACACTGTAAGAATAGTCCCTGCTCCACACAGCAGCACTCAGCCAGCCTTGGGGGACATAGTGAGCTGCATAAGCTTCTAAGAAACAGGCGGAAGCAAAGTGCTCAAAGAGCAGAACAGAAGTACCAAGTCACTGGAAAGGCTATTTACTCCCATTGCAGTGCTCGTATGAAGGGCTTCATAAAACCCCAAATCAGTATTTTGGAGAAAGAACTGTAGTAGAAAAGTGATACTTAAACTCAGATCTTCTGAAAGGGTTTGGGATTGGGAGACTCTGCTCTCTGATTGAATTTCTTGGTCTATGAGACTGACACAGTCCTTTCAATTAGCCATCTTGTGGTTGGCAAAGCTATTAGAGATGGACCATACGTAGCGCCACATTTCCTTCACATCACATAGGAGCACAGTTCCTTGCGGTTGTTTGACAAGGTTTTCAACAGCCCAGTTCTGAAGGTCTCCAGGGATGCCTAACATATCACTGACCAGAAAAATTCTGGGTATTCTGTCAATATTTTCGTTCTATTTCATTCCATTCCTCTTGGAAGACTTGTCTCCCACAGACAGCAGTGTATTTACTTGTATACACATAGTCTTCTGGAACCAGTTTCCCCTCATATACTTGCAGCCTTTTAGGGACCATTAATAAGAATCTACTTCATAACCAGTAGTACACTGTATCCTTTGCAGTGAGAAATCTGGGCTCAAATCTAGTCCATCGGCTGGAAGCAGGGTGTCTGGCTGGAGGTAAGAGGGGCAGGAGTGGCCTGGGGGTAGGGTGTCTGGCCAGAGAGATGCTGGGTGGGAGGGAGGGAGCCAGGATGGGCTTGGGTCTCACTGGGGTGGCTCGGCGCTGGGCTCAGGACATAGTCACTCGGGATGCAACAGAGGATGGGGCGTCAGTGGTCTTGCCCTGTGCTTCTCCTAAGTCCCAGGTCTTGGACCAGCCACAGCAGCCCCTGGGTCAGAGGACGGGCTGCCTGAAAGGCTGCAGGTAGGGCTGAGCAGGCAGGATCTTGGGAAGTGGAATCTGCCCATGCTGGGCTGCCAGGCAGCTTTGCCAGTCCCTGAACAGTGTCCAGGACAGAGAGCCAGGAACGCAGAATGACATGACCATGTCACTCTTGTCCAACAGGAAAAGTTTTGATTGATAGATTAGATAGATACTATTCCAATTCCACTTAAGGAGAGGAATTGACTCACATTGGTGAGTGAAAATTATATTATTTCTTCCAATTTTAAGAAAAGCATTCCCAGTGTTCTGCACCACAGAACTGAGAAGGAGCATTCACTCCCACTCAACTATAGTCTCAGGTGCTGCTTCCCTTACATCTTGTTGAGCCCTGAGAACACTGATTGGGTGACTGCTCCTCCCACACACCTTCTTCAGCTGGTTTCTAGATAGAAACCAGTAGTAGAGTAGGGAGGTTACAGATTAGAGACTGGCACAAAATTAACAGGAGAGAGTTGCTGAGGAAGGCACACATCAGAATATCCATACCTTGGCTCAGGGGTTGGCAACCTTTCAGAAGTGGCGTGCCAAGATTTAACTTACTCTCTTCTATTTATGGATCTGCATGCCGGGTGGAGGTGAGTACAGTGACCATATTTTCTGAACCAGCTGCAGCTAGGCAGAATAGTTTAATTTAAATTATTAAACAGACTAAGTGTGTTAACTTTCTCATGCTACTGCAACCATGTGGTCCCAGGCTGGCCCCGGAGGCTGAAAGTGTCTTAGCCACAGCACTGCCTCCTCCCACTGCAGCCTAACCTGCTGCTGGGGAAGGAGGAGTGCTCCAGCTGCTGCACGGGGGAGGAAAGGCAGGGCTGAGCTCCCACCATGCATGCCACTTATGGCACGCATGCTGAGAGGTGGCAGATCCCTACTCATAAGCCAGAGGAGAATTGAACCACAGTACTGAGGGAGAATTGCACTTGCCCCCCACTCTAGTAGTCTGCGCAAGGATTGCTCTCTCATGTCTCAGGCCTTAAGGTGATCTTCCAGGCCTCTTACCAGAGATCCACAACTCTCCCACTCTTGACTAGGGGATTCGGCTTTTAGCCCCCTTGGTCTTTTCTCTGTTTATCTTAGCAGGCCTGACTGAACTGAAGCTCCTTCGCTTTGCTCTCTCCCCAAAGGCCATGATCAAGAGCATTCTGGGGTGGGGTGGGAGGCTGACAGGCTGGGGTGTCACGGCCACTGGCCCTCCCCTTCCCAGTGGCCGGGGAGAGAGCCTGAGGGGTGGGGCAAGCATGGTGGCTGGTAGGAGGGACCTGAGAGGTCTGGGCTGTCTTGGTCCTAGCCCTCACCTCCCTGGCAGCTGGGAGGCTCCTGAGACGCTGGGGCTGTTGCAGCCCCAGCCCTCCCTGGCAGCTGGAGGGAGAGCCGGGCCTGCCAACCCCCACAGATGGGGGGGTTGGTGAGCAGGGACACCACCCCCTAATGTTAAATGCAATATTCATAAGACATGCTTGTGTTTGTCATATTGGTCATATGTATTACCCCTATTTTACAAATCAGGCTCAAAGCACAGTGGTGAAGTGAATTGCCCAAGGTAACACAACAACAAGGTGATAAAATCAGGAACAGAGCCAAACTTTCACTTTACCCAGTCACTGATCTAGACAACAGACCATCCTCTCACAAACTTCAGATAGAAGAATCAGATTTTTCCATCTAACAAGTGTTTTGGAGAGAAACAGAGCCATCTAGTAGGGCCGTACAGCATTTGGAAGACCATTACTCTATTGTTGACAGAGTATTCTTTAATCGGCTGGAAATACCAGAACATATCGAAGGGGAGTCGACAAAGATGATAAATTAACAGCAATTCATCTAGAAATCTGAGCCCCATCTTGAAGTATTTCTGGCTGGAGAAACCTGAATGGACTGTTCTAAGGGATGGAGGAGTCAGCTGAGCCATCACTTGGCGCCTCCAGGCTTGAGCAGAAGCAGTGAGTCACATGCTTTAAACATGACTGTTTCTCAGGGCTTAGAGAAAGTGGATACAAATGAGTGGGAAGAGGATGTGACAGATAGGGTAACTTTCTGCAATATCTTTAGGAAGATCATACTGTATGTAAGTGAATGAACAGTATCATTGTGGGTCAGCGACTGCATGCACGCTATGGGGAAATCATTACCACAGCTCCCCTAGGAAGTGAAACTGGTAGGGGATGATGGAGGTGAATCATTCAGGTTATAAACAGCGTCAGAAAGGCACCACCTTCTGAAGATGCTCATATATTCTGGTTCAAATCAGATGCTCCAGACACCACTGGAAAAGGAAGGACTTCTGTATAAATAGGTAGAGCTTAAACTGACTTGAAGCCTTTGTTCTGCTCCTGATCTAAACGTTGACATAAACTTGCAACCACTGGGAAAAATGATTTCAAGGATACAGGTAACAAAGGGATTAAACTTAGAACTCAGTCAGTATCTTCTTCTACTTCTCTTGTGTTTGAGTCATTCAAGTGGAGCGCTACTATTTGTGGCACAGTCTTCCTTTGCTCTCAATAGCCCAGCAGGGTTTTCTATAACGTCTCACAGAGGTATCAGTTTCTTTTTATTGACCCTGCAGTATTCTCATGGAAACCATCAGCAAACTAGCACCACTGGTTGGAAGAATATGTTGCAGATGTATTGAGAGATTATGGATTCAAATTCAGTATTGCTACTTCAAGGGTTGAGGATGGCAGACAGTGCATCAGTCCATATGGGGAGAAGGGCAGACAGCACACCAACTTGTATGGGGAGAGGACATTTTAGAGAGGACAGAAGGCTAACCCCCAATGACAGAGTGCCAAGCAGAGCAGAGAAGGTCTCAGATTTTTAGGTCCCCCTCTGAAGATACTGTCTCCCCAGCTTACTCCAGAATAAGAAGCAATGATTTTACATTTACCGTCTAAGGATGAAGAGCTGCATCAAATCTGCTGGGATTCCAACTTGAGATTTCAGGGATCTAAGTCATCCTCTAAATTCCACCATATGGCAGACTATGGCTGACTGCAAAGGACACGTATTGTGCACAGAAGCCCTGCCTCCATCGTCTGCAAATGTATTTTCCCTTCCCTTTGATTCTGAGTTACTCAAATGAAAGAAGCTGAATTATGAAAATGAGGTGACTATCTAAACAGAAGACATTAATTCCACCTACATTTCAATGGCTGTCAGACTGGATTAGAAATATTAAGTTTTCTTCTGTCTCGGCAAACTGACACAACCACCTTTTCTACTACTGGGCAAAGTCGTGGATTCACTGCCTACTAAAGGACCAAGAAGATCTTGTGTTTAAAGCACTATACTGGTTCAGAAGAGTCTCAGCATTGCCATAACTTCCTATAGGACCATGGGCAAGTTGTTTAAACCCTCACACAGTTACTAATCTGCAAAATGGAAGGGCTATAAGAGAATAGCTTGGTTAGCATTTACAAGGTGTTCAGATACTAGACAGAGAATACA